CCCCCCCCAGTAATTAGATTCTATTTATGGAAAATGTAAAAATTTGTTATAATTTTCCAGGTAGCGAATTTAATTATCGGAGGCATACCTTGAATTTTTCCCTGTCCCACTGCTACTGTGAATAAATTTGGGGAGGGCAGCTCTTTGCTTTCCCCCAACTTTTTCTCCTGGCAGCCCCTTCCCCCACCCCTTACTGTCAGACTGCTCTCACTGAGCACATGGGAGTGAGTAGCCAATTTGAAAAAAAAATAACCTTAAAATTAGACATGACTGTAGCCTTGCTCTTGACCACAAACAGTGAAGAATTGCTGGGGGATGTAGTAGTGGATGACAACTTGTATAGCAGCAACCATGAGATGATTGAGTTCAGAATCCTGAGGAAAGGAAGGATGGAGAGCAGCAGAGTAAGGACCCTGGACTTCAGAAAAGCAGACTTCAATGCACTCGTGGAACTGATGGACAGGATCTCCTAGGAGGCCAGTCTGAGGGGGAAAGGAATCCAGAAGAGCTGGCTGTACTTTAAAGATACCTTACTGAGGATGTAGATATAAATCATCCTGATGTGCAGGAAGACTAGCAAGTGCAGCAGAAGACTAGCTTGGCTTAGCAGAGAACGCTTCAGTAAGCTAAAGCACAAAAAAAAAGTGGAAACTTGGACAAACAACTAGGGAGGAATATAAGAGTATTGCTCAGGCATTCAGGGAAGAAGTCAGGAAGGCCAAAGCACAATTGGAGTTGCAGCTAGCAAGGGACATGAATGGTTTCTACAAGTTTGCCAGCAACAAGAGGAGGATTAGGGAAAGTGTGGGTCCTTTACTATATGGGGGAGGCAACCTGGTGACAGAGGGTGCAGAAAAGGCTGAAGTGCTCAATGCCTTTATCACCTCAGTCTTCCCAGGCAAGGTCAGCTCCCAGACTACTGCACCTGGCAGAACAGTTTGGGGAGGAGGGGAGCAAAAGAACAAGTTAGGGACTATTAAGAAAACCTGGACATGTACAAGTCAAAGGGGCCAGATGGGATGCACCCAAAATTTATAGATTCATAGATGCTACAGTCGGAAGGGACCTCAATGGATCATAGAGTCTGACAGCCCATGGCAGGAAAAAGTGCTGGGGTCATGTGACCCCAGCCAGGTGCTTGCCCAGTCTCTTTGAAGACCCCCAAGGTAGGGGAGAGCACTACCTCCCTTGGAAGTTCGTTCCAAATTCTGGCAACCCTAACCGTGAAAAAGTTTTCTGATGTCCAACCTAAATCTACTCTCTATCACAGGGTTTGGCAACCCCCAGCACGCATGCTGAGCATGGCA